TATTTACCTTGCCTTGTAGGTTTAGGGGATCATAGAGTGTGGAGGAGAATTGTGTGAGTTGGTCTCGTGTCGAACCAAAACCATAGCAGCAACATTTTTATTATAAAGTCTTCATTAATTTTAATTTCAAGCTTTTATTATTTGCATTTAGTTTGTTAGGTAATTTCATTTTCGCTACTCAAATTTACATTAGTTGTCAGTCTTCGCTCCCTATGGATTTAACCCAGCTTACCGCTAACTACGGTATTTAAGATTGATTTTGTGACCGTGACGACCAGTTTGACAAAATTTTGGCACTGTTGCTGAGGAGCAACGAGCTTTCGACTTTGTGTGTTTGGGTAGTCATTAGTTTTTACTCTAGGTTTATCTTAGTTGTTGTTTTTGTTTGTGTTATTTTTTTTGTAGTGATTATTTGTTTGGGTGAATTGTTTTGTTTGGTTAAGTGTTTAATTTTTGTGTTCCTTTTAGTTTGTCTCTTTACATCTTTGGTTAATTATTTTCTTTTTAGGTTGTTTGCATAATTTCATTTTACTTTGTTTTATTTCATTTTCATTTTATTTTCATTGGAATAGTTTCATTTGTGTTTGTGTTCGTTTTCGTTTTGCAGGAAGATTGCAATTGGGAATAAAGATTTGGCGCAACCCGATTGTGAAATTCTGTTGACTTTTTTTTATTTTTTATTTTTAGTCCTTTTGATTAATAGTTATAGTTGTGTGGTAGTTTATTAGTAATAGCTTTTGCCTTATTTTCCATAATTTGGTTTTATTCCTAGGATTTAATTTTTGTTCTTAGTATTAATTTCTATTAGGTTGCATTGATAGCTTTAGTTTTGAACCTGCCCCCGACCCTTTTGAGGAGGAAGTGTAAGTTGCACAAGGCTTTCAAAGACGGAACGATCCATACTCGAACACGTATAATCCTGGGTAGCGTAACCACCCTAATTTTTCATGGAAGCCACAACCACCCCAGAATGCCCCTAACAATATGCCATACAGGAACAACCTTCCAACCAGCAAGGCAACTATGGGGAGCAACCTTCAATCCAACCAACCTCCCAACCTAGGATCCCACCTCCTATTCAGCAGCCCATTCTAGTGCATAGTTCACTGGAATCAATGATGACTCAAATGCTCCAAACCATGCAAGAACAAAAAGCTGACATGAATGTTAGGTTCCAAGATTTAGAGCAGAATACCCAACTTCTACATTCTCATTCCCAATCCATTAGTAAGCTAGAGACCCAGATTGAACAAATAGTCAAAGGAGTCAATAGGAGGGAACAAGGCCAATTGCCTAGTCAAGTCATAGGTAACCCTAGTGGTTCATCTCAACAGAGAGGGTTTTCCAAACAAGCTAAGTCTATGATGACTCTTTGGAGCGTCTGAGAGCTAATTAGGCTTGAGAGGGAAGTAGAAGTCCAGGGTAGAGAAGAGGAAAGTTTAGGTAGGGACCAAGCTAAAGAGAGTGAGAGCGAGCCACTTGTAGAGTCAAGTGTTCAAAGATCGGATAAGGAGAAAGTTGGGGAGAATGAACCATCCCTTACATCGTACATATCGAGAGCACCCTTTCCTCAGTGCTTAGAGCCCCTAAATGTTCCCACTACTAGGAAAAGCTTTAGGATGGAGGAAATGGTTGAGTTGTTTAAGCAAATACAAATTAATATTCCACTCTTAGATGCCATTAAGCAAGTAACTAGTTATGCCAAATTCCTCAGAGACTTGTGCATGCAAAAAAGGCGAATGAAATCTCACACACCCAAGACTATACATTTACTAGAAAATGTAAGTGCGGTTGTCTTAAACAGCCTTCCCCCAAAGTTAAAGGATCCTGGAGCTCCTATTATTTCGTATGTGATACGTAATGTCACGATTGATAGAGCACTCTTAGACTTAGGGGCGAGCATGAACTTATTACCCACTTCTATGTATGAACAGTTTAAATTAGGTGAGCTCAAGCTTACTGAAGTCATCCTGCAATTAGCTAATCGATTGATCAAAATACCTAGGGGCCTAATTGACAACGTGTTAGTTAAGGTTGAGGAACTATATTTTTTAATGGATTTTCTTGTCTTAGACATGGAGTATACATGTTGTGGAAGTATGCCACTCATTATTTTAGGGAGACCTTTTCTAGCAATTGCAAACGCTTATATTAACTGTAGATTAGGAGAGATGGAAGTGTCTTTTGGGAATAGGAAACTAAGACTTAATGTGTTTAATGCTGGTTTAGGGCCTATGCGTAAGGACGATAATGAGTGTTTCATGGTTGATGCCATTGACGGTCTAGTGGAGGCTCACGCCCCACAGATGTTATGTGATGATGTGATTTACACTCTTATGAATCTGTCTGTTGAGGAGATATGTAGCTTGAGTGTCATGTCTGAGATTTAGGAGGTTGGTCCGTATATGGATATGTCGCCCATTCTAGAGCATTGACCTTGGAACATCAAGTATGAACCCTTACCACCTTTGTCTAAGACAACACAACCAACGTCAATTGAGTCTCCACTAGTCTTAGAGTTGATGGCCTTGCCTAATACTCTCAAGTATGTTTTTCTAGGACCCAACAAGGCCTTACACGTGATCATTGTCACCAACTTAGATAGTGAGCAAGAGGAGAGATTAGTGGCGGTCTTGCAGCACATAAAGAAGCAGTCGGTTGGTCGGTAGCCGATTTGCAAGGAATTAGCCCTTCTTTGTGCATGCATCGCATATTTTGTGAAGAAAATGCTAAATCGGTGCATGAATCTCAAAGAAGGTTAAACCCGAACATGGAGGTGGTGAAGAAAGAGTTGATCAAATGGCTTGATGCGGGTATCATCTACCCTATATCCGACAGCCAATGGGTGAGTCTAACCCATGTTGAACCTAAGAAGAGTGGCCTCACTGTTGTTGAAAATGAAAGAGGTGAGCGAATTCCTACCCGTCCTTCCACAGGATGGAGAGTTTGCATTGATTATGGAAAGCTCAACCTAGCCACTAGGAAAGATCATTTCTCTCTCCTATTTATTGACCAAATCCTAAAAATCTTGTAGGGCAGGCTTTCTAATGCTTTCTGTCTGGCTATTCCGGATATAACCAAGTACCAGTTGCCCCTGAAGACCGGGAAAAGACCACATTCACATTTCCTTTTGGTACGTTTACCTTTCGTCGCATGCCTTTCGGGTTATGCAATGCACCGACAACATTTCAAAGGTGCATGTTGTCGATATTTTCTAACATGGTGGGTCAATTCCTTGAGGTCTTCATGGATGATTTTTCTGTGTTTGGTACATCTTTTGATGATTGTCTCGAAAAGCTTGAGTTGGTGTTGAAACGATGTAAAGAGACAAATCTTGTTCTTAGTTGGGAGATGAGCCATTTCATGGTTCAAGAAGGTCTTAGTTCATGTAGTTTCCAACAAGGGGATAGCAGTGGATAAGGCAAAGGTGGAGTTGATTTCTCAACTACCACTGCCTTCGTCAGTCAAACAAATTAGATCTTTCCTAGGCCATGCAGGATTTTATAGGCGTTTCATCCAGAATTTTAGCAAGATCTCTAAACCTTTGTGTGATTTGCTTGCTAAAGATGTGTCATTTGTTTTTTTATGATTCTTGTATGATTGCCTTTACCATTTTGAAAGAAGCATTGACCATAGCACCCATCATGCAACCTCTTGATTGGAATTAACCTTTTGAAGTGATGTGTGATACGTCGGACTACGTCATTGGTACAGTCCTTGGCCAGCAGGTGAATAAAAAGCTCGTTGTCATCTATTACGCAAGCAAGACCCTCTCTGATGCTTAATGCAATTACACCACTACCGAGAAGGAGTTGCTTGCAGTAGTGTTCTCCCTTGATAAGTTTCGGTCTTATCTTCTTGGGTCTAGGATAGTTGTCTTTACAGACCATGTTACAGTTAGATATTTGTTAGACAAGAAAGACACTAAGCCTAGACTAATTCGATGGATTTTGTTGTTGCAAGAGTTTGATCTAGAAATCAAAGATAAAATGGGTAATGATAATGTGGTCACCGACCACTCGTCTAGACTCTTTACAGAGTATGTCCCTGGTCAATGTTTGAATGACTCTTTCCTATATGAGCAACTATTTGCAATATCGCAATCCAAAGCACCTTGGTATGCCCATATAGTCAATTACCTGGCCATAGGACAATTACCATTAGGGTGGACCAAAACTCAAAAAGATCATTTCTTTGCAACCATCAAGCATTATTTTTGGGAAGATCGGACCTTTTCAAGGTTTGTGCAGACCAGATTATTAGGAGATGTGTTCCCGACCATGAGTTTAGTAGTGTACTTGATTTTTCCATTCTTATGCTTGTTATGGTCATTACAGTGGCAAGAGGATCGCTTTAAAGGTCCTCCAGTGGTTTTTATTGGCCCATTCTTTTTCGTGATGCATTCTTTTATTGTCGTGCTCGTACTTTATGTAAGAAAGTAGGGAATATTGGTAGACAATATATGATGCCCCTTAATCCTATTTTGATTGTGGAAATGTTTGATGTGTGGGGCATTGATTTCATAGTTCAATTTCCCTCATCTTTTGGCTTTGAATATATCTTGCTTGCAGTGGATTATGTGTCTAAATGATCATAGGGTGGTCGTCAACTTTGTTCAATTGCACATATTTAGTCGTTTTGGTCACCCGCGTGCCATCATTAGTGATAGTGGTTCACATTTCACCAATAGGCACTTTGGCTCAATATTGAAAAAGTACTCAATCACCTATTGAGTTTCCACACCTTATCACCCTCAAACTAGTGGACAAGTGGAACGTGCTAATAGAGAAATTAAGACTATCTTAGAGAAAATGGTACAGCCCGATCGTAAGGATTGGTCAATGCATCTGAATGATGCATTTTGGGCCTATCGAACCGCATATCGTACTCCTATTGGCATGTCCCCTTATCGGTTAGTTTTTGGGAAAGCATGTCACTTACCTATAGAACTTGAACATAGAGCATATTGGGCCACAAAGAAATTCAATTTTGATATGACCATGGCCATTAACCATAGCAAACTCCAATTTTCGGAGTTAGATGAGCTAAGACACGAAACTTATGAGAACTCTCGCATCTATAAAGAGAGGACTAAGGCCTTTCATGATAAACACATTGTTAGGAAGTCATTCTCTCTTAATCAAAAAGTGTGGCTTTTTAACTCCAAGCTTCGTCTCTTTCCGGGCAAGCTTCGGTCACAATGGGATGACCTTTTTATTGTTCTTAATGTTTTCCCTCATGGAGCTGTTGAAATCCAAAACCCAAAAGCGGGGCAAGTTTTTAAGCTGAATGGCCAAAGACTTAAACCTTATGCCGATGGCATCAATGATGGAGAGGTGATTGAGGAGTGTCCTTTGTTAGAACCAAATTAGCCATTCAAGTGCACTAAGTCTGGCTAAAGACTTTAAACTTAGCACTTGTGGGAGGCAACCCACCTTTGTAAATATGTTTTTATTGCTTTTATGTTTTTGTCTTTGCAGGAGTTGTCATGTTTGGAAACTCATTAACTAGTCGAAGGGTATGCTTAAGCATGCTCCACAAACCTCACTTGTGACAACTCTATCATTGTCCCCCAGGTTGTATCTTTCCAACTTTTATGTTGATATTGTTTAATATGTTCTCATGGGTTGCATTATTTTAATGGTTATTGATTTTATTCCATTTGAGATCATTTGATGCTAAGTTGGGGAGGATATTTGTAGCTGTGGGTCATTGAGGACAATGGCATTTTAAGTTGGGGAGTGTTGATTTATTTATTTATTTATTTTATTTTTTTTTTTTTTTTGTGGAGTATGTATGTTATTGTGGAGTGTTGTTGATGGTGCTTTTGTGGAGATTGTGTATTAAATGGATTGTGATTAAATTTATTTATTTTTTTTTTTTTTTGGTGGCATGATTATGTTTTTGTTGAAAATATGTTGAATCTTACTCTTGTAAGTCCAAAAGTGGAAAAAGGGAACTAAAGTGAGCTATTTTCAAAATTTTTCATGAATTCATGCATAATCACCATTTTAGAAGCAATTGAGATGCTAGTTGAAAGGTCTTGTGAGGTTTTTGAAAATGGTTTGTTGCAACATGGTTTTAAACATTGAACTATTGTTTTTGTTATGTGCTAGGCTAGTCCATAATTGTGGTTAGACACCGTTTTGTGTGAATGTCATGTGTTTTAGTGTTTATGTAAGTCTCCCACATACTTTACATGTCCATGGAGCAAATTTTCATTTATTATCTTGCGTATGTTAAAAGTGCTTAAATGTTGCTTGATGATTTGGTTTTGATTTGTAGCCTAGTTGACTCGAGTGAGTATGCCCAAGGGGTGCTCTACACCTAATCCCCTAAAGCTATCTAGCTTGAGAGTGATTGGCCTAAAGCTCGTTACACGGGTACTCTAGAAAGCTTAATAAGTCATTACATAGATCATGAGCTTTAGAAAAAAAATAAAATAGTATAAGTCTTGACTTATAGCTTTGTTGGTTCGAGTGAGTAAGTTCGAGGAGTGTTCTACACTTAGTGCCCTATAGCCGTTTGGTTTGGGAGTCATTGACCTAAAGCCCACTACACGGACCTTCTAGAAAGCTTACGAAGTTAAGGCAAGAAAAAAAAAATCAAGTGATGAATGAAAAAGAAATTATATGTTAAAATATTGTGTGGAAAATGAGTATTATGTTGCATGTACATAAGTTGGGGAGTTTTACATGACACTTTGACATTGTGATATGAACATGAAATGTGTGTTTGAGCAGCTTGGATAGAGATAGGAAAATCTTGACAGAAACTTTAGTTCTTTATTTAGGATTGTGTTGTTTACTAGGTATGTTCAAATTCTTCACTTTACCTTTTGATGAATGTTTTGGTTGTTGATTAATATGGTTGTGTATAGTCTTGTGAAAATGTTGAAAATTTTTCTTTTACTTTACTCGAGGACGAGCAAAGAGTAAGTTAGGGAGTGTATTAGAGTCATGAAATTGACTCTATTTTGGTGATAAAAAGACCCTATGTGCGATTAAAATGAAATCATATTGAGGCAATTAAGAAATTTATGAATTTATTCACGAAACATCGCATCCTAATGTTTTCTTATGAATTTAACATGTTCGGAATGATTTTGGAAATGGTATGAGTTGATATTAGGTTGTCGTTTATGGATTAAGGGTGATTTTGTCTCATTCATGTTGTTTAGGGGGTAAACTGTCATATTTTTAGGGGGTTGATTTTGTCACTTTTCAATTATGTAGGCACCAAATAAAATTTTCTACTTTTTGTATAAAAAGGAAGTGAAGGGTCGCATTCTAGAGGTGCCACTCACCCCAAACTATAGTTCCACCATCGGCGACTCTTCCTCTCCCATTTTCGGTGACGTTCCAGCTTCCCCTTGCACCAATCATCATCATCCCACACTGACCATCGTGATTCGCGTTTGCTATGGATGTTTCATCTTCCAATCGTCGTTGGGCCACTTTTCAACGATCTCTGATGACTCTTTCTCTTCCCTGGTGGCCGATCTACCTTCCTCACACTCAGTTCCACCTTCCTCTAAGCTCCGTCAATGCCAAAATCGCTGAAAACCACCATCGCTGCCGCCGCCTCTTTTTAGCTTCCACGCTAGTTTTTGCTCACTTTTTGGCAACTTTTCATCTCCCCAGGACATGATTCAAACTCCCTATCACCTAAGCTTTCCATCGGTACCTTTGGATCCCATTCCCACCACCATTTCTCGGAAAACCTGTCGGAAAACTAATGTATTCTGGCGAGTTGCGACTGTTGGTGTTTCAGAAGTTTCGTTGGTCTTTTTCAGCTCCTCATCGCATCTTCTAACTGTTGGTCACTTCTTCTTTGCCATGACCAACTTCGTTTCCACCGCTTCAGCCTTTGTCGACCCCACTATGAGTGGCTGAGCTCCCTGTTCTCTGTTACGGTGTAGGTGAGATCGAGATTAACACCCATGACTCTCTTCGACAGCTCTCGACTAGTTGGATAAGCCCGATTGTTGGACATTTGGTTAAGTACTGTGTATCAGACTATGTTTTTTTCGTTTCATGATTGATTACGATACTTTAAAGTAGTTTAATGTGCGATTTGTGATTATTGATGTTGTCCATTGAGATTAGTTGTTGATATAAAACCTATTGCATGATAAATGTTGGTTTGAGATAATTAAATGTTGAGTATTGATCTAAATTACTTCGTATTGATTGGAATCGAGTTATATTTTCATTTAATGTCATTTCTACTTATGTTACATTAATTGTGTAGTTGGTTGATTTGATGATACGTGTTGATGAATTGTATTGGTTAATGACGTACCAACTAGTCATGTTGACTTGTGGAGTTTTTCGGTAGTCAAAGATAGCCTTTAACCAAATCGAACTTAAGCAATTGGATGAGACAGGATAGACTATACATAGAGTGTTGGAAAGCAATTTTATTGATTTGCCTTGCCTTGTATGTTTAGGGGATCGTAGAGTGTGGAGGAGAATTGTGTGAGTTGGTCTTGTGTCAAACCAAAACTGTAGTGGAAACATTTTTATTATAAAGTCTTCATTAATTTTAATTTCAAGCTTTTATTATTTGCATTTAGTTTGTTAGGTTTAATTAATCAATTTGCCAATTTCATTTTTGCTACTCAAATTTACATTAGGTTGTCAGTCTTTGCTCCCTGCGAATTGACCCTGCTTACCATTAACTACGATATTTAGGATTGATTTTGTGACCGTGACCACTGGTTTGACACTGTCACCTCCATTTATCATCCAAAGATGAAAATTTCCCATTCCGACAGGGTGTGGAGATGTCAAGGGGTCTTAGCGTGAATCTTGCGACTGTTATGTTAGACCATTGCAAATAGCATGCAAAGGGAAAGGGAAGCCTATAGGCATTCCTGAGTAAGCAATATCGATCAGCAGGATCGAACCACAGCTTGGTCCAGTGGAAGACAGTATTGATCCTAGTGTTTAGAAGGAGTATACCCACAGTGGACCAGTTGAGACATTATCTGAGGTTTTTGTTGACTAGAATGAGCCAACTCATATGTTGAGAATCGGAAGCAATCTCAACCCTAAACTCGTAACTGATTTAATAAGCATCCTCAGACAGAATATAGATATTTTTGCACGGACTCATGCTAACATGATCAGGATCAGCTCAGATGTTATATGTCATGCACTCAACATCAATAGTGAATTCAAGCCTGTTTGCTAGAAGAGAATAGCTATGGACCCAGAGCGTTATGATGCTTTTAAGGTTAAGGTGGATAAGCTCCTCTCAATGGGGTTCATTTAGGAAGCTTATTACCCTAGTTGGGTCGCCAATCTTATTTTGATGAAAAAATCAAATGGTAAGTGGCGAATTTGCGTTGATTTTACGGATCTTAGCAAAACTTGCCCAAAGGATAGTTTCCCTTTGCCAAGAATTGATCAGCTCATTGATGCTACTTTCGGGCACAAGCTGTTAAGCTTCATGGATGCCTATTTGGGATATAATCAGATTTCGATGTTCATGCCTGACGAGAAACATCCCTCGTTTATCACAGAGCGAGGACTGTACTATAATAAAGCCATGCCATTTGGTCTAAAAAATGTTAGGGCAACCTACTAGTGTTTGGTTAATCATATGTTTTCCATGAAGATCAGAAAATCTATGGAGGTCTATGTGGATGACATGCTAGTCAAGTTGCATGTCGCTTTAGATCACATAGGTAACCTTATGAAAATGTTCGATATACTCCAAGGGTATAGAATGAAACCTAATCCTCTTAAGTGTTTCATGGGGTATATGGTTAACATCGTGGAATTTAAGTCAACCTCGAGAAGATCCAAGCTCATTTAGATATGAAAATCTCGTTAATTGCAAACAAGTCCAAAGTGTGAATAGGAGAATAGCAGCTCTCAATTGCTTCATATCAAGAGCAATATATCGTTGTTTACCATTCTTCAATATGCTTAGAGCCAATAAGAGATTTGAATGGACTCCAGAGTGTGAATAAGCCTTCCAAAGCATAAAAGAGCATCTTGGCAAACCACCTCTTCTGTCCAAGCCTCTTCCCCAAGAAATTTTATTTCTCTACCTATCCATCTCTCAGTATGCGGTCAGCGTAGCTCTCATTCGGGAAAATGATAGAATTCAGTTGCTAGTGTATTACACAAGCAAACGACTACTGGACGCTGAGTCAAGGTATTTAGAGATGGAACGATTAGCTTTTGTTTTGCTTATTGCTTCCAGGAAGCTGCGACCTTACTTCTATGCCCATTCATGTTTTAACAAATTATCCACTCAGGCAGGTCCTTCAAAAGCCAGAAGCCTCGGGTAAATTGCTCAAGTGGGCCATGGAATCAATTCGATTTGCATTACAGATCGAAAACAACTATTAAAAGGC